CTTTAATGTCTCATTTGTCACATGATTAATTAGGGCTAAGCGTCTAGTTCTCACAGTTTGTGGTGGGCTGGGTACGGACGGGGCGGGAGGGGCGTGTTTGGAGCGGGCGGTTGTGCTTTTCAGCAGACACCGGGAAGGAGGTGATGGGGAAGGGGCCACGGCGTGCAAAGGGTCAATTCGAGGGTGTGGCAGCGCGTGGGGGCGTTGGAGAGGAGGCGGCAGAAATGTGTTTGAGGCGTCTGGCGCCGGTCGTGGTGATGTGGTTTCGGAGGTAGTGGTCTGCGGCGCGCGCTGCTGGTGACACTGGCCGGCCCGCCTAAAAAGGCAGCTGGGACGCGCGCGCGCCAAATCGGGGACGGGCGGCAAGCGGCGGGAAACCCGCGGGGGTAGCAGGGAAGAATGGCTGTAAAAACGCAATTGTGGCCTCAGGGGCGGGGAATGGCTGTAAAAACAGAAACTGCCCCAAAATGGGGGAGGGCGGGAAACGGGGCTGTCTGCTGGAGCTGATTTGGCAGTATGAGGCTGGAATTAACCGGGGCGGAGGCGTCCTGGCTTTGTCGCTTTTTTTTCGCTAAAGTTAGTTGATGTACTAGGGAGGCCGTTAGTATGGAGGTTGGACTAGCTTTGAAGTATCCATTCTATTTCAGTTACAATTTTCTAGCGGTCGAGGGCGCCCGCCCGTTCTGCTTCGTGGTACATCTGCAGGGCGGCAAGCCAGCAGCAAAAAACGTCCCGGACAGCCCCCTCGAGCTGGCAAAGAACAAGGAGAACATCCATGTCTCGATGGGATGGAAGGCAGCGCACGGGGAATGGCTGCAAAATCCCACGTTGCCCACACCCGCCACTGCTCAGAGCGGCCACTGTCCTATTCCAAGCAGGAGTATCTCTGTCCTTTCCAAACAGAAGTATCTCGGGCTTTTCCAAGCAGGAATATCTCGGGCTTTTCCAAGCAGGTATATCTCCAGCTTTTCCAAGCAGAAATACCTCCAGCTTTTCCAAGCAGAAATACCTCCAGCTTTTCCCGCTGCACATTTTGTTGGCGGCGTCATTTTTTGTTGTCTCGTCTTTCCAGGCAGATTCTGCTGCACCGTTTTGCGGTCATGTTTTTTTGGTTGCACCGTTTTCTGCACCGTTTTCCGCAGCCAAGCCTGGCGCTGAGGCTTCCAGTTCCGGGCGTCCTTTTCGTTTTGCTGCGAAACCCGCGGCAGCCGAGCCGTGGAAGCGCACCCGGAATAAGCGGCGGTCGGGAGGCGCGCCGGGCCGGGCGACGAAAACGCGTCACGCGACTGGGCCGGCCCATGCCCCACGTGACCGGGGGAGCATCCATCATTGCCGGTGGCACCACTGATCCTGCCACCACGAGTCGAGTGAGGCTGTGGCGCCGTTCGCGGGACGAGGCAAGCAAACCTCGCGCGCTTTCGTATCGTCTGGCGCGCCTACTCAAGGCTCTCCTGGAGTGCGGCCAACGTGCTGTCCAAATCCTTGTCGATCTTCTCCTTGAACTGCTTGGACTTGCTCGCTCTGCGCTGCAACTTGGCCGGGCCCTCCAAGTTGTCCAAGCTGTCCTGGAATTCGCTGTCGTCCTCGGCGTGGCCCAACGGGCTCTCGGTGGGCTCAGGCTCGCCTGGGTTCTTTTTCTTGTTCTTCTTGCCTTTCTTCTTGCTGCCTTTGGGTGGCGCCGGCGCGCCATGCTCCGCTTCACGGCCATGTTCCTGTTTCTGCTGTGCGGCCTGAGTCTGCTGCTCCGGAGCCAGATGGTTGGTCTCTCTGTCTTGCGGGTGCTCGTCCGCCTGCGCGTGGTCTTTTGGAGCGCCCTCTTCGGGATCGCTCTCTCTTGGGCCCGCTTCTTCTTGATGGGTTTGTTTTGCATGTTCCTCATCCAGAGGGTTCTCCGGGTGGTTCTCCGGGTGGTTTTCCAGGTGGTTTTCCGGGTGATTTTCCGGGTGGTTTTCCGGGTGGTTCTCCGAATGGTTTTCCGGATGGTTCTCTTCCCCCCTTTCCTGCCCCTCATCCCCCTCCCCCTTCTCTCTCGGCGCTGCCAGCGGCCGTTCTGCGAGGCCACCCTCCATGGCTTCGGGCTCGTCGCCAGGCCCGGGCTCGGCCTGGTGCTGGAACGCCACGTTGTCCTGCACGGCCGCCCGGAAGGTGGCAAGCGGCACCTCGTCCACATTGAGCCACTCCACGTCCTCGTCCGTGTCCCAGAAACCGATCCGGCTCCAGAAGATCCGTGCGCGGAGCACGAGGAACGTCAAGTAGAGCTTGACAAACACGGGCTCCAGCTCCGGCGCCAGCGCGGGCCGCACGGCGTCGGGCGGCCGCTTGAACTGGAAGCTGTTGGCATAGGCCACGTCGTCGTACGTGCTGTTCTGCGGCAACTTGTAGATGTTGGAGTGCACCACGCGCAAGGTGGCGAAGAACGTGCAGAGCGCCCGCAACTTGACCACGCAGAAGTTGCAGAGCGGGTACGTGGCAATGGCCGCGTGCGGCTCGCCGCCCGTGTCCGTGGCACCGGGCTCCGCGCCCGCCTCGGCTGGGCCGTACAACCGCAAGTTGTAGAGCCGCGCGTGCTCCAAGCGATCGTCCTTGTTCTCGCCGCAGAACGCACACGCGTCCTTCAACGCCACCGGGGCGCCGCTGCCCCGCCGCACGCCCTTGTAGGTCAACTTGAAGGTCTCGTTGACGCCGGCCACCGGCTCGATGATGGCGCGGCCCTCCACCAACACGCTCCAGAACGACTTGCCCTTGGTCCAGCGCCGCATGAACGTGTTGCCCGTGAGCGCCGGGATCACCGGCACGCAGGGCTCGAGCTCCTCGGCCCACACGCGGCGGAAGTACTTGAGCGTGCGGAGCGACGCCAAGTCAAAGCTGAAGCCGGGCTTGATGAGCTGGTACACGAACGCCTTGAAGTCGAGCTGGTACGCGGGCAAGTCGAAGCGCACGGCGCGGCCGCGCACGCCGTAGAGAAGCTGCTGGAGCACGGGAGGCACAGGCACATACGCGGGTTCGGCGGGCTGCGGCGCAAAGTCGAACGCGGCCTGCTCCACACGAGGCGTGGCCACACGTGACGCCAGCTGCTGCCGCTCGTCCATCTGCACAAACAAGGCCTTCAAGTCCAGGAGCTGCGCCTGCAAGTTGTCGATGATGGCGTCCTTCTCGGCCAACTCCTCGATCAACTTGCGGTTCTTCAACTTGTAGTTGTACGCCTCGCGGCTGGCGTTCAGCACCATCTCGTTGGCCTCGTTGAACAACGACGCCGTGAGGTCCTCCACCTCGCCCTCGAGCTGCTTGTTCTTGGCCTCGGCGGCATCTTTCTGGGCGGCGAGCGCCGCGAGGCTGAGCTGCAACGCGGCGAGCTGGTCGCGGGCGGCTTTGTGCTCGGATTCCACGGGCTCGAGCGCCGATACCCGAGTTTTCAAGAGGGCCTGCTCGCGCCTGAGCAGCACCACGGTTTCTTCCAACAGCAGCAGCTTGGCCACCTCCGTGACCAACTGCGTTGAGAGCGCGGTGACCTGGCTGGCCAAGCGTGTATCGAGGTCTGCGTCGTCGGCCATTTCGTTGTGAGTGTTGGTGGTGTTCCCGCGATTCGGTGGTTTAGATTTTGGGATTCTTGGTTTCGAGTAGTTCCAGTGTAGGGAGTGTGGCGTTGTGCGACTCCAGTGCTTTAGGACTCCGGGATTCTCTGTTTTCAAAGATCCGGTGATCGTTTCAGTATTCTAGTGTTGCAGGGTTCTAGGTTTCCAGTGATCCGGTGTTGCAGGATTCTAGGACGATGGTTCTCTCAGTAATCCAGTGTTGCCTTCTAGAACTCTAGCGATCCAGTGCGGCAGGGTTTAAGGATTTGAGGTTCCAGGATTTAGAATTCGGGGTTTCCACGACTTTGAAATTCGGGACTCCAGGATTCCAGCACTCCAGTCTTCGTATCTCCTAATGCCGCTAGTCTTGTCTCCGATGACTCCAGTAATCCAGTCTTTTCAACAGGCTGGTTCTTTGCGCACCGCGAAATTCGTGTGTCTGCTAATTTATTCAGAGCCTGGGAAAATAACGCTGGCCGATATGTCAATCTCTGGCGATATCGGGAGTTTGTGTGCCACGATCTGCTGGCGCACTAACAGTTGAGAAACTCGGAAGTAGGTTCCAGGTGGTCCTGCATACATCACCCATCCGGACCGGCTGGCCCGTTTTTTCCCGGGACTGGCTCCTTCTTTTTCCGTTTTCTCAAAACTTAACTTAAGGGCATGTCAAGCTTGGTTCTGCCTGCGGATCGGTGCTTAAAGGCTGATGACGTTTGGTGTGGCGGGGCCTGACTTGTTTCAGCTAATAATGCTGCCCGCACTCTGTGCAGGCTACCATATCAAAAATGTCCATGACGTCTCCGTGGGACAGGAAGAGATCGTAGGGGCACTGCTATTTTCGGTTTGAAGTTCAGTAGAGCGGTCTTTGGGCATGTAATGTTCCATGTTTATTTATAAAATACGGATGTTTAGAAGGACTGTATCCTAGGGCCCCTGGAGGACTCTGTGAATGGTTAATTAGCAGTACATAGTGTAGGAGCAAAATGCCATGCCAAGGGCTTTGTTGCTGATCTTTCTGACAAGGCAATCTTGAAATAAAAACCCACTACAGATAATCAAAAAAAGCAGCCAATATTTGTCTGAGACGTCCTGTGGTTTCCCAGTCTTTCGCAGCACCACCAACAGCGAGGCCCGAACATGTACCAGCTCAAAGCAATTACGCTTGGTGTAGACGTAAAATCGATTGTGAGAACTAGTGTTTAATCCACTGAAACACAGCTCATTCAAGCAAATTATCGAAGTTCCTTTTTCACAGCAATCACGGAATGCATACAGCGAGTACGCTGGAATGGGGCCTTAACTAAGTAAGTCCAACTTGGCGTATCATCAATAATGGTTCGAGCCATCGGGAAACCAAAAATGCCCTCACGATATGGAACTGTTAGCTTTGGCCATTGAAGAATACAGCCAGGCACTCTGATTTATGGATTGAATTCCGTCAAAAACGTTGTGTGGCTGTTTCCGGCTTTATAACTGCAGATTTCTGAATTATAGTTATCTGTTAATCGAGAGGCAACGATTCTAATTTGGCAGTGTCAAGTTTCAATGCGTAGAGACATTTCAGCCTTATAAAATTGCTCTATTCTTTCTTTGTCTCAGAAGTGAGAGCCACAGGCCAAGAATTGATGTGATAATTTCTTCGGTGCCACAAGTATGGAGGTATATGAATTCTGGTCGACTCAAAACGATATTGATGGGATTATTGCAAACCCTGAGATATAAATGGGTTTATTGCAAATCCTGAGATATAGGTGGGACACGGAAGGATCTAGATGAGGCATTGCAGATCCCCGAAGGATAGATGTGATTGTTACAGAATCAGAGGAATATAGACGAAAACAGTACATATGCAAATGCCGCAAAAATACGCCGGTCTGACTCTGGTCAATTGTACATTCATACGCCATGCTCATGCCATCACTAATGCACCCATCCCCAATGTATCCCATAGACCGATGGCTCTGCTCTTCATTTCATCACTCAAATCCGAGGAGACGACCACTGAACAGATCAACATACAATCGACTCTTTCGATCCACTTAAAGCACCCTTCATCATGCACTTCTGGAATACTAGCGGGTGATGTGTCCATACATACTCCAACATAAGAGCTCCAAATAAAAACGTCCTGCCTCAAAGTCTATATTATAGTCGCCCATAGCACGAAGCTGACCAAAAACAGGCGTGTCTGATCAGAAGAAGGAGAAATCATCCAACCATGCTGTTCCAAGAAATCGATAGAAGCTCGACGTCGTAACTCTGCAAGAACCAAGCACAGAAACACGGCTCAATCAAATTCCCACATCTTCCTCACTCAGATAGTCGGACTCATAGTCGCTGTCATCATTATACTTGGACCAGTCAAAACTCGCCGTTTCAGCCCTGCTCCCATCTTGCCCTAAAGAATCCGTGCGCTCGTCCCCTTGGCCACGGACCTTATGTTTCATCAAATCTGCATCGCTGTACCCGAGGAAGTGTTTGGCATAATACTCGACAAAATCGTCGAAATCCTCGAGCTTCTCCGTCTGTTGCAAATCTTCCTCTGTGAGCGCTTGGGCTCCACCGAGGAGATCCGGGTCTTCCAAAGCCGCAGAAAGCTTCGTCGTCAAGTCTTTGCGAGAAAAATAACGCGCAAATTCTTTGGAGTCTTCGAGACTGGTGAAAATGTTGGTCTCACCTCTTTCAGCGTCTTCCATTTCACGGTCGCCGGAATCCGACTCGCTCTCTTCTGCCAAGAAGTCTCGCCGCTGGAGCTTCTCGTATTTCTGCCGGTCACTTTCGCTAAGGACACGCAAGGGCACGTTTGCTTGTGTTTTCATCTGGAGATCCGGGCAACAGACAAGCTTTGCGGCCGATTTTCGAGTCGACAAACCAAGCTCGTAGAGTTTTGACATGAGAAACGAGCTGTGGAAATCTGCCCTGGGAATCGGCTGGGCCACAAGGGCATCCAAGCGGGCCTTCTTGCCAGTGTCTTGTTTCGCTGCAGCAAATGCGTCATTTGCATTGATCTTGATCGAAAGTGAAATCCACTGGGCATCTGTCAAGCTGTCGGGGAAAAGCTTGTCTAGAGCATCTCTGTCCTCAGAGGTGTCCGAAACTGCCACTGTATACGCTTCTTCATCTACAAGCAGCAACGATTCTGGAAAGCAATCCAACAGTATGTCTGTCAAGTCGATCTTGTTGGCTTCAGGCCGCGTGACCCAGTGCGGGTGGTGGAGCACAAGATTCACGAGGGATTTTGGGATGTAGACATTCTGGATATCCAGCACGTTTTCGATCAAGTGGTCTTCACGCTTGCCAAAAGAACTACTTAACTGGCGCGTGAGGCTGTCTTGTCTCGTAGCTGCCAGTGCCATCAACGCGTCCATTGCCGCTTTAAGATCTAGTTCCGGGACATACTCGCCATGCGGGTTATCGTCCGTGTATCCATTTCGGAGTAGGAAAACAGACCGGTTGTGAAGCCAGAGCCGATTTATGCTTAGCTCGGCGTCCATTTCAGAGGGTGCGCTGAAGTCCCGGCGCAAGACGTCATGTTCTAGTGTGTCCCACATGTGAATCCACATATCGACTTGGTGGGAAAAAAGCCACATCAAATACGTGAAGTACTTCTGGTGGATTGGTGAACCGTACTTCATTTCCACCACTGCAAACGGCCGAGGCGTGGGGCCGTGGTGCAACTTCAGAAGCTGCAAATAGACACGGTGGGGGTTGTACTTGTTTATTTTGCGGACAAGCTCACCCAATTGGCTGTGGAAGTGGCTGTTGCTCCATAGAATAGCAAAGCAGCGGGCTCCACAGGAGATGAGCGAGTACTCGTTTCGCAAAGAGATGAGGCGCTCGGGGCCAATCATTGCTGTCGCCATGGTTAAGGCCAGATAAAGGAGTTTCTATGGAGGAGAAGTGAAGGGCCCAAGAATTGGCATTCGCAAACTAGCAGAACTTAGGCAGCGCCGACGGGGCCATTTGCAGACCGGGCCCGGTAAGTCTTTAGCGTCAGATGAGCGGCACGTGACCGGGCTTCCATTGCGCGATAAGCCCCAGACGCATTATCGTAGCGAGCGATTGACGCGCCACCCGCAGCCAGAGATCATTCTCCTGCTTTAGGCAATTGCTCGATGGCCACAGTTCCTCTGGAGGACCACCACTATCATCCCATCATTTGTTGCTTTTCTGTTTAGTGACTGCAGGCTGGACGTTACGAGCTATGCCAAGTCTGGAAGTGGCGCCCGGGAGCAAGCCGCTTGAATTAAGCCGCCTTCCACCCGAAATAAAGATGGAAATCGCCAGCAACCTCAGTCAAATCGATGCCGTGTGTCTCTCCAGAACCGGGAAAGCCATGAGCGAATGCAGCGTGCAAAGAATCTACGATAGAGTCGTGGTGGAAGCAAACTATACGCAGTTCAGCAAGGAGTATTGCCCACGGTACACGTACATCAATCTGCTGTACAGCCTCAAGCAGTTCTTCCGGGCCAAACACCGCAATTTGACGAGGGCGCTCCACGTGACCGGCCTCCCCGACCTGGCCAATATCTACTACGTGGAGACGCACGACTTGATGCACCGGTTCTTCGCGGAATTGCACAACTTGCATGAGCTTGTGTGGACCGCAGAGAACTTCACGCCAGACCACTTGCACGTCTTGCCTAACCGCCCGCTTCTCGAGCGCTTGGAGGTAAACATCAACTTTGCCGGGCCGGGCCCTGCATGTGAGCCCATGGCGGGGTTCGAGGGCCTCCGGATCTTGCAGATCCGGCCGTTTGCGAATCTGAAGCGCCTCCGCCATTTGCTCTTGGAGTTTTTGGGGAGCGGCGGCAGCGAAATGCGTAGTTTGGAGTTCTTGGGCTTGGCACGGTGCGACTCCGACTCGCCCGCCTTGCTCCCTGCACGAGAACTCCGAAATCTAGGCTCTGAGCCAGCGACTGGTGACGGGTCCCAGGCCGGATCTGCGGATGTTGAAACCAACACCCTCCACACTTTGCTCACGTGTCAGTCTGCCGGCAGGATCCGCAACTTGACCAAGCTTAGCCTCAACTCGATCTTTGTGAGCGAGGCCGACGCCACTCTCCTTGCCGAGTCCATGCACTTGCCTAATTTGGAGACACTAGTACTCAAGAAGGTAGCGGAATGTGGCGGTGGGGCGGAAGACCGATCAGGCGGGTTCTTGAGGGTGCTTGCCCCGCATTTCGACAAGCTCCGCCATTTGCATCTCGATTTCCGGGAGACCACCCGGGCCTCGATTGCGCCGTTTCTCTCGACCATTCCGCAGCTCACGAGCCTCGATCTCATAGAACGAATGAACGACTTGAAACGGGCCTGTCTCGACGTAACACAGCTATACTCAGACTACGGAGCGTCGATTGCGCGGCACGGCACTTTGCAGAAACTCTCCGTCGAAGTGCGCCAGGAACACTCCTTTTGCGAGACGGTTATGCCGACCCCAGAACCGGTACTTTCGGCGATAAGCAGCTTGCATGCGCTTGGAAGTCTCCGTCTCTCGAGCGTGAACGCGCTGGCAAACGAGACGTTTACAGAAATGCTACAGGGGCTATCCCGCCTACGGTTTCTTGATGTTTTCGGCGTGCATTCCGCAGGGTTCCTCAACTTGGGGCTTGGCATGGTGCACCCCAATATCTACGATGAGTGGTTCAAGGTACAGCATTTCGCAGAGGAGCTTGGGCAAATACAGCCGGCCACCCAGTACGTGCGGATCAACCAGTGTGTTTTCGAGTGCACATGCAGCCTGGTGTCTCCCAGGGACACCATCGACGGCTGGTTCGACGAGAATGTCCGTGTGTAAGAACGTCCAAGTCCGGATTCCAGCGGGCCCGTTGATTATTACGTAGTCGCGCTTTATTACTAGCGGCGCACGCGCCAGACAGGTGTCAGTGGAGTCAGATGTTTCGGCGACAGCAGACCGCCGGGGCTATATCTAAGAGAAGGCAAAGCGCCGCATGGGCACAGTGCACTAGTTGGGATGTGGAGCATACTTCCGCTGGTCCGAGGCGCCGCAGCTCATCGCGGTCGCGACGCGCTCGGTACGCCGGACGACAAGTCTACACATGCAGGAGTTTAAAAAAGCGTTTCATTCGTAACTCATCATCTATAAATTAGGCGGAAGTAGTGTCATTCCAAAACCGTTGCCCGGACACTATTCCAGATCTTCTCCGTGGGCGCCGTGGAGAAACCAGTGCGGCACACTGCGCTTAGTTGCTCTTGAAAGCAAAGCCGAAGAAATTGCCCAAGAATGTGGTCTCGTACTTGGGAGTGAACTTGACAGTGTTCAGTCTGATTTCGGCCATGATCTGGGCCTCCTTTTCTTGAGCGGTCATCTTTCCTGGGTTCATGGTGATTGGTGTTGTAGAGCTGGGAGTGTTCTGAATGAATCTAAGAAAGAAAGCTGTGACACTCAGCGGAATACCACGTATTTATATCTATTTCTGAGTCATTGCATCGCCGTGCTTAGTAGCGCGTGTTTTCCCGATCATTGCAGGAAGAAATGCGCGCACAAGCTTACATGGAGTCCTGGCGGGGGAAAGCGGGATCTCGGACTTTAGAAGCAACGCAATCTCTAGGCGAACATGAGGGGAAAAATCGGAGTTATGGGCATGGCCATGCTGATTGAGCCCACCACATCTCAGTGCTAAGAAAAGGCTCTGTTTGGAGCGCACCAGCAAAGATTCGAATGTACCCTCCCCGCCG